TCAGAATCAGCCATGCCTGTGAGGCACAAGCGTCCCCCATGCCCAGACAGCTCCTCTGTCCCCAAAAATGACTCTGGCCAAGAAACTGCAAAACAGATATCCTCTGTGAAAGGGAGGCTTCTATCAGAATGTACCTCTTCTACCCAAAGAGGAAAACCTTCTCTAGGCTCTCCTGGTCAGAGAAGTTTTTAGGAAGACCCAGAGTGTGCTCATGACAATAGCTTATGACCCAAGGTGGGCAGTGGGACTGAGCCCCAGAGAGAGAGGGGCAGTGGAGGGCAGAGGAGAGAGCTAGAAGGACTGCGTAGAGCCTGTGTCTCCAGGGGTCCCAGGTCTGTGGGAGGAGCAGTGTATTTGGGCCCCGGTTCTATAACCAGCTCAAATTTTTGTTTCTGCCTTTTGATGAATCCACCATCTAAAGAAAAGAGAGCACCCACACAAACAATGAGGTGTGTTTTTATCCATAAGGCAGCACCCTAGAAAAACTTTAGATAATTATACTAATGTGAAAGGTTTGCCAACGTTTGTTGTTGCTTGGTTGCTAAGGCTGCCTTCAAACTTGGGATCCTCCTACCTCAGCCTCCCAAGTCATGGAGATTATAGGTGTGTGCTGCTGTGCCAAGCTGAAGTGAAAATGATTTTAAAGAAATTTCAGAAAACTGTTTTCCATATACAGTAGTTTCCCCTTAATCTCCAGGCATCCATGATCCCAAATGGATGACTAAAACCACAGATATACTGGCTCCTGTATATATTTTCCCCTAAACATACCAACCACAAAATTTAATTTATAAGCTAATCACTATAAAAGATTAACAACAATAGCTAAAACCAAAATGGAACAATTATAAAAATGTACTCTAATAAAAGACATGAATTATTTTCTTCTAGGAATGTCCATTCAGGAATTCCAAATGATGGGAAACCAAAGCTTAGCAAAAACCATAGCTGAGGGGGAACTATTGTAAACCTGATTTCTAAAAAATAGATTTGTGTGCCTGAGTATAAATCCATGTGTGCTGGCATTCCAGTGACTATACAGAAATGCTTGTTTTTACATAGACAATTTTTGGACATATATAGAAGAAAATATGAGTCTGGAAGTGGGTCCAATATAGAAGGCATGTGTTTCTCAAGTAAACTCCACCAGGAACATATTTCTTTATGTTTAATATGCATTATTTTCATGACCGTTAAAAGGGGGAGTAGAAACTTAGGCCTTTTAATAATATGTAATAATAAGCATTGTAGCAACTCTGGGTAGGAGAGAAGGGAGACTGTCTACTCTGAGGACTACGGCACACAGAGAGTGTCAGGGTGGGGACCAGCGTACAGGTATGTCACACTAGGAGCCAAATAAAGGCCTTCTGGTATTGACCTAAACAAATCTAGAAGGTCAGTGCTTAGCTTACTGGTTGAGGAAAGAGGTCTGTTGATTACTCCATTTTCATTTATCTGTAAATGTGGGTATTGAACCCAGATAATATTATATGAAGTTCACTAACAAATGAAAACAGAAGATGCCACATAACACATCTTTGCAACCTTGAGGTAGGCTTGATTCCTTAGTGAAGACCCAAAGACAGTAAGCTATAAAAGCACAAATTGGTAAACTGAACTTCATAAGAATTAAAGGTTTCTGCTTACTGAAATGTACTATCAGGAAACTGAATAGATAAGCCATGAATGAATATTTATGTATATCACAAATTATGTATATGTATCACAAGTTTGTATTTATATTCAGAATAGTTAAAGAAATCTTATGGTTGAATATTAAATTGAACAACTTAGTTTAAAAAATGGGCAAAAGTCTTGAGCCAATTTTTCCTGTAAGAAGATACACAAATGACTGCTGAGCACATAAAAAGATGCTCAATATAACTTGTTATCAGGGTAGTACACAGTTAATTCTATTGCACATTCACTAGATGGCGAAAATTTTTGAAGATCGAATTTCAAGTGTTAGCAAAAATGTTGAACAACTATAACCTCTTGCACAGAACATGGTTTAGCAATTCCCTGCAAACCTACTCTCACAACAGTTACTCAAGAAAAATGAAAACATGTCTTGGAAGCCTGGTACAAAAATTCATAGCAGCTTTTTAAAATAATAGCTACACCTGGAAACAAGTCAAATGTCCATCCATAGGTGGCTGGATAAACCAACTGTGGTATGTCCATTCAGTGAAATACTACTAATGATAATTTAAGAAATGAACTAGTGACATCATATCATAGGTAAGTAACAGAGAGCAAATTAATGGTTTGCCTAGAGCAAGGACAGGTGTGTTTTGTAGTAGGGTACCAGGAAACTTTTTGGGATGATGGAAATGTGTCTCTTTGTTGCGTTCTTAGTCTTGATTATGGTAGTATAAAATCTGTCAGAATTTATCAGCTGTACACTTGAAATGGGTGTATTTTACTGATGTAACTCATCACTAAAGAAAGCTTTTTTTTTTTTTTCTTTTTTCCTTAAGAATGGCTCCTGGGGAAGAGCTGGCAGTTAGGGCAGGCGTGCATGATCACACACCACCACATGCAGTTCTCATTTGTCAGTTTGCTTGCCAAGATGTCCAGGGGCAAGAATCCCAAACCCTGCCCTCCATTCCATTCTCTGCCTCAGGCTTCTTAGGACTTGGGTCTTTCAGCATAGAAGGTAGGGCTGTAGGCATGCACCTGTGTGCTCCACTTACCTGTGTGCCTGGAGACTGGCCTGAGTATCGTGGCGGCATTAGTATTGTTCTCTGTGGAGCCCTGGGGCATGGCATATCTGGTTAGAAGGAAAGATGGAGTTTATCTTCCAGCAACCTGTACTTGTCTACTTGTGTATCTGCCTGGCTTGGCTTGGGTGGTGCGGATGACACAGGGAGTTGTTGCGTGGGTCTGACAGGCTCCCCAGGCTTCAGTTCTCCTGAAATCCTGTGAATGTTGATGGTCCTCTTCTTTTAAGGTTCTCTTTCTTGCATCATGACTTCTATTAATCTGTGGCCCTCAGACTTCCTCCTGTGGTCCAGTGTGTTTTTGAAGAATACAGAGTTTTCATTTACTAGCAAAATTAATAGGAAAGGTTCCTGACGTCTCTGCATTTCCTCTTAGCTGGGAAACTTCCTGGTCTCCCTGGGAGGTGAGACCATCTACTCAGGCCAATGGCAGGTCACCTGTCGCATTTGAATTCTCAGAGAAGGCACAGAACCATTGTTTGGTGAGAAGCAGCAGCTTGTTCTCTTGGCTCCTTTGTGAAAGGAGGGATAGGAGGAGGAAGCCACGGAGCTTGTCTCTCTGGGCTCATGGGTGCCAGCAACACTACTAATAGCAGGACCTGTAGGGAGATGAAGGGAGCCGGGCAGTGGGAGCCTGGGAGCAGTGAGCAGAACTTGGAGCTTTTCGATTAATCATTCTATGTATGTGTGTATGTGCTTGTACATACATGTATGCATGTGGGGGGTATTTCTTTTAGTCGGGAGGGATGACTGTTTTAGGAATTTCACCTCAGGAGTTGCCAAATAAGTTTATTTACCTGTTTCTCATACAATATATACTTATTAAAATGAACTTTTACTGCATTATGGAGTATAACTAACAGGCTTCCTGCAGGCAAAGTTAAAAAAAAAAAAAAAAAAGGCCTGCAGAGTAAAGTTCCTTTACTTCTTTTTGAGACATTGTCTTCTGAAACCAGCGTCATCCCTATTATTAATCGCTCGTGGGTCTTTATACTGCATCGCATTACTCCCTTGGAATTAAACTGCACATATAAAGTATGAAAAATGTACTTTTTAAAACAGTAAAAAAAAAAAAAAAGTAATTTTCTCACATAATACCCAAAATAAAGTGCCATGGAGCCATTAGTAGTAAATTGAATTTTTTGGTATGTAATTTGTACAAAAACTGACAAGCGCGAGCCCCCCGTCTCCCCCATCATTAGTCACCGGGTTTAGCGGACATGGAGGCGGTAATCTGCAAGGGCAGGCATTTTGATGTCGACTTCAATTGCACACTTCATTTATTTGGACAGGGCACAGGCGGCAGCTTCTGTCACGGGGCATCACCGCACTATTAGCGAATTTCGCCCCAGGGCAGCTGGGACGCTGTGCTGGGGCAGATGTTCTTTTCAGCCTATTCAGTGACCATTCTTGGGGGTTGTTTACTGTTGCCATGGTGACCTTCATTTCCATAGCAGCAGCGCTGCTGTTTCTCAGAGGAAAATGAATTTAGTTATAAAAGGATAATATTTTTCTCTGTCTCTGTATAACCTGCCATCTGTCAACTGGTGGATCGGTAAGGATTCAGAAACCTATTAAGAATTATAGCAATAAAATAATTGGTATTTTTTTTTGGCCCGTATTAAAAGCAATAATAGATGTAGAAACAAGCACTGAGCCCTCAACAACAGAACTTTATATTTTTCTTTATATTTTAAGTGCTTTCTTTTAATGCCTCCACCACCAAGGCACACAGGCACACACACACAACACCTTGTAAATTGTTATTTGCTTTCTGCTGACAGTGGAAATGACCAAATGTCTTGTTTGTATCTCAGTTGATGCAGGTGTATTTAATGCTTTCTCTCAATGCTGTGAGCTTTCCCCAGTTCATAAAGATTCCTGTAGCTGAACTTCCCATTGTCACCGACTCCCCTGCTCCTCCACCGCAGGGTAAAGGCTGAGGGAAAGCACAGATCAGCAACTTACAGGAACATACAGTGCAAATGATGACATTAGCAGAATGAGAAGAGACTGTTCTCATCTGGTTAGGGGGAAAAAGCTACTAACATGCTTCTTAAATCTCCTTCTAGAATATGTTTTCTTCCTCTCAAATCCAAATGGTAAGAAAGTCACCTTTGGGACAACTCATCTAGTTCCCAGATTTCTTCTTCTTCTTCTTCTTCTTCTTCTTTTTTCCTCTGTTGCATTCATAAACGGTAACTTACAGGGATAAAAACACACACACACACACCGGCCCCGTTGTAAATAATGTTATTTATTGGTTGATTTTTCCAGATCCTGACATTGATGCTGCCAGTGCCATGATGCTTTTGAATACTCCCCCTGAGATACAAGCAGGTTGTGAGTAGATATTTCTATAGCCTACAGCACCATAGTTTCTGAACTTATCCTTCTCATTTATATCCCAGGCCATAGGAAGAACTAATGCTGAAGCAGACCTTCCCTTGCCATCAGTTTACAAACTACAGCAGTGCGTGGTTACATGCATAAACATACAGACATGTGGCCACGAGCGTGTGTGGATGAATGCACACATGAGGAAGTTCTGATGATAGAATTTCAGGGCTTACAACATGGGGAGAGAGAAACAGGCCCCATCATGAATCCCAGTGGGGAGAACTTCCTTTCTCCTGTAGGAATTATTGCTCTGAGTTGGTAGGAGATGCTCCTTGAAGCCAGCTTACCATGTTGGTGCTAAGCAATACCCATCTTTAGACATTCCTTTCCAGGACCTCATTGATGTCAGGCTGCCATTTTGAAAAGTCTGGCCTGTTCAATCTTGGACTAACCTTGAAAATGAGGCCGTGATACTCCTTGGTTTAGCCAAGCAGGATTCTTGTCTTCACCTTCTCTTGGCCACTGAGCAATGTCAAGTTTGAGATAACTCTTTTCTTTACTTGGACTTCACTGCTACCTACCACCCAAGGCTTATTCATATCTTTGGAGCTAGACTACTGAGTTCTGGAAGTCTCCTTCCATGAAAATGACCTTAAGTGAAGATATTGCCCCTTCTTTCTCCTGACTTAGGCCCACATCCCACACCTAGGAGACAGATCTGGTCACTAGGATCTACCCAGCTTGTCATAGGGACCTGTCTCATTCCTGTGACTGGTTCTTCTGCCTCCTGAAGGCCTTGTGGCCTCCTGAGCAATGGGAATGCCCCACTTTTAGAGAACAGTGTTGTCCTCAGGGATGGTCCATCCCCAAACCCTTAATAGGTGTCATTATGGACTGATGCAGGGATTCAAACCACCTTTCATCGTTCTCTGCTTCTCCCAGCCTTCCTGACCGCTTTAAGAAATTGGACTCGGTTCTTCTTTGTTCCTTTTTAAAGACCCAAGAGACATAGCCAGGCGCTCTCAGAGAAACCTGGTCTTCTGCCTGGGGTCGCCCTTTTCGGCTCCTAAGGGTGTACAACTCCCATTCTGCCCTTGCTGAATCTGACTGCCAGCATTCCTGTCCCTCTGACCAGCAGACCCCACGTCTAGGCAGATGTGTGACTGACGTACTATAGCCATTCACCTGAAACATGGCTTTTGAGTGATGCTTTATGTTTCAGAGCAATATATCCTTAAAAAACCTCTGTTCTCGGGAGGCATCGTAGAAAAATCACAGTCCAGACTGTAATCAGGTTACGGGCTGAAATGGTTTCTAACATCAAGTTGCATAACCCATCCTAGGGGAAACATTGATGTCATCAGAATCAGTGTGAGGTTCAGGCCCCTTCCCCCAGCACCCCACCACTCTACTTTAAAGATAAACTCTTGTGATGAACTGCTTGCCGGGAGTGAGAGGTACAATGGAGATTCTGGAAAAGGCAGGGGGATTGAGGGAACATTCTCAGATGCTCAGCATCTTCTGTGAAAGGCCAGTGTTACTGGATCCGTGACTAGAGATGGGAAAGGAAAGGGGTACTCCTGGTTAACTGAGGGGTTGAGTGTTGTCTTGGCTGAGGGGCAGTCTTTCCTCAGTAAGTAACCTCCAACTACAGGATTCTCTGTAAGCCATAGGCCTATCTGTGTTGGAATGCTGAATTTGATTTTTAAAGGCTTAGCATTCCTGTTTGAAAGGTTTAGGAGCATTCTTAGAAAGCTTTCCTCGAAAGCCTTGGCTATTTCCACCGTGGGAAGAGTCCATATGGTCTCAGCCTTTAGGAAGGCCCAAGGCCCTGTAGACGGGAAGAACCAGGATGCCTGCAAAGGTCATAGCGAGAGATACTCTGCAGAAGCTGCTCAGAGAGCTAGGGACACCACCCTTATATTCAGCCTTGTATTCCCAAGTGCAAGCGTGAGGGGTGGGCAGATGGACAGTAAAGCCTTTAGAGGTGGGAGCTCATGCTCTGTAGGAAGGGAGTGAAGAGACAGACATCCAGACAGCCAGGTGGCCCCTCCTCAACCTCTCCTAGACACCGCCAGCGGTAACTGGCTTCGGCAATGGACCACAGCTTTTAGCCAGCTCCCCTTTCCTCTGCTGCCTCCTTTGGATCTTGCCTTGAGGCCTGAGGCAGTACTTTGCCTTTTTTAGGTGAAGGGTGACAGAGCTAGATCAACAAAGCCACCATTCCCGACCCTGCCAGTGTTGAACCAGGCCTAGAAAAAGTGAGCCTGGGCAAAACGTGTAGAGGCAATGGCCAGCCGTGGGGCCCTATGCGCGGCCTGGAATAGAGGCCTTCCCCAGGTGCGGGACTCCTGCCCCTGCCCACAGAGCAGGGAGCATGGCTCTGAGAGCTCCCCGTGTTTCTAGCCGGCCCAGAGGCTGCCTGGATCCCCTGGGCTGAGGGGCAGGACTGTCTGAGCAGCTATTTATAGCCCCCATTTTCACCTCTCAGCTGCCCGAGGCCCTGTCTGAGTGGGAGCTACCTCATGGTCTCTGCCACGGTTCCCTCCCAGCGGTTGGAGGCCAGCCTGGGTGCCTTGAAAGGTTTTTCCTTTGTCATCAGCCTTTGTAGCCACTCCACTTCAGGTCACCAGATGGCAGCCACTTAGAGCTCTCCCTCTCCTCCTTCCCTTGCTCAGCATCTGCAGAGCCAGCTCGGGGCTGGCAGGTTGGCCACCGTCCAGGGTCTGAGGCTGAGTAGGTCGTACAGAGTGAGCTGCTCAAGAAGCTGGTGAGAACCCCCGTCTGCCAGCTTCTTTCTCTCCCAGGGGTCCAAACTGCCCAGGGGAGCCCCTCCACATCCTGGACTGTTGGAGCTGAAGTCCCAGAGGGTCCCACCACCCCTCATTGCAGTCTGATGCTTCCCTTTCAGTAAGGTAGCAGAGTGTCGCTAATAAAAACTCAGCTTCAACGGTTTGTCCCCCTGGCAGCACCCGCAGCCTGTGCGACATTAGGTTTTTCAGACTTTGCCAGTTTGCAGCATGGGACACCATCCGTAAGGAGAGTCCTCAGAGTCCCACTTGCTCCCTGGGAGGCTCCTTGCAGAAGTCAGTGTGGAGCACAGCAGGTTCATTATCCTCTGAGCTCTGGATTATGCTTTGAGTCAAATCCACCCACCTATCCCACCTGTCCCCCGAAAAGTGACCATGTAGACTGATTTCAGCTTCCTGCATCTCCTTAAGCACCTGCTTGCAGCTCTCCTGTGACAAACCCTGTGAGTCATCTTGAACCCCCGTGGAGGAATTGTTATTAAGTAGGAGAAGCCAGATCACCATTACTCATCTTCAAAGGCTTATATAATCCCTGGTTGGAATGTTCCCAGAGACGAACTCTAGATAATGGGGGAGGGAGAGACGGTGTTCTGCACCCCCCCCCTCCTGGCACTGGGGTGCAGCACAAAAAAAGCAACCAGGAAACAGACTGTGTCCTGCCACGCCAGCTCCCCGCTCCCCAGCCTGCTTCCAAGCCAGTGGGTAGGAAGGGCGCCTTCGGGAAAAGGACGGATTATAGGAGTCACCTGCTGCTCAGCTTATGGCCTCTGCCAGAGCTAGCCAGGGCTGCTCTCCAAGGACAGCCGTAGGAGCTCCCAGGTTAATTTTAGAAGTTGTAAAAAAATGAAGGAAGTTCCATATCAAGAGGGAAGTTAGAGAAGTGCTGAGGGGTGACATCATGTGCAGGGAAGTTTGTCCTGTGCCTCAGACTTTTTTTTTTTTTTTTAAAGATTTCCAAGATTGCATTATCACATTAGATCATTACATCTGTAATGAGCGGTACTGCTCAGTTTGGCTGTTCTTATGTATGAGTGTTGCTTTCTTGCTAAAGTCTGAACATTTTAGAGTCGCTCTGTAACTTCAGAGAATATAGTTGGCCAGTGGGTGGTCCTAGGCACCTTGTCACAGCAACCTGAGGGCCCTAAACCTGTCTAACTTACCTCTAAGCAGTGCATATTGAAACTGCCTCTTCCAGTGAGACATCAGTCAGCAAGAAGCTGATTTCAAATGTGTGGTTCTTAAGTCTTTGACCTAGCTGGAGTTTGGCAGCATTTCAGTACATCAGGTGGGGTGGCTTGGCTGCAAGGCGTTGGCCTTGAGGTGTCTTGATATGCTTTGAGGAAAATAGTGAAAGGAAGAGAGAGAGCAGGTGCTGATAGACCAGGGGCTGAGAATGGACTCAGGTTCCTGCTGAGTCCCATCATCTGAAAAGTAGCGAACAGTGAGTCTCAGGATGCCTTTCTCAGGCAGAGCCATTTTGACCGCTGTGATGTGTTTTTCAGAAGCCATGTTCTTGACACTTGGGGATGGGGAGAGAAAGGAGGAGAGACGTGGGGAACAGTTAAGTGTCACAGCTGGCTTCTGGCAGTCAATGAGCAAATACAGACACATCCGCCATCTCAACATGGAGAAAACTGCCAAGGAGGGGACGAGAAACGCCAGGACTGGCAGAGGCAGCACGCCATCGCAGCTCATCCGAAAACAAGCCCCGGGATCTGGAGGATGAGCCAGTGCATGTGCCAGAGTCTTGTGGAGCTCAGGAAATAGCTCAGGAGCACGTCTTCCATGAGATTCCCTGGAAAGTGCGTGCAGTTCCCTAATTGGGAAGATATATTAATGGGTGAATAAATAGTTAGAGCTTACTGCAAAGAAGATAATAGATGGAGAGAAGTTCCCCATAGACGACCTGACACCTTCATAGATGGTTAATAAGAGGTTGCTGGAGAAGGGATGTGGGAAGGTGGAAGGATGGCGATGGTTATGATGGTTATGGCGGTAATGATGGCGATGGCGGTCATGATGGCAGTGATGTCTGTGAGCGTGCACAGGCCATCCAGCCAAGCAGTTGACCTAGCTTGCCTGATTTAAGTCTTCAGAACGATCTTACAAGGTGTTTTAGGTCTGCTTTACTGGTGAGGAAATGGAGGCACAAAGGTTAAAGTGTGAGCCCAAAGCCACAGAGTTGACCGTCCTGCAGTCTTAGAACAAAGGCCGTGCTCCCTTCAGCCATTGCAGTATACCTCTTCCACCTCCAGAAGGAGTCCATGAGACAGGGAGCATCCAACACGCTGGATCTCTAGTAGGTGCCAGGTGGGGACCGGCTTCCTTCACACTCCTGCCTGCCGGGGTGCCTCTGGGCATTTGGGCAGAGGACCGGGCACATGGAGCACCATCCCTAGGGCTGCTTTTCTTCTTTGATTGGCTATGCCAGAATGAAGAAGCATGTGTTTTCTGTGACTTGCTATCCTCCTGTTCCAGGGTTTTCTGGTCTTTTCCAATTTTAAGTGCTTGGAGTGTTTGCACGGCAGAGGTGACTCTGACATGACACAAACCAGGGGAACCAGGAGCATCACATCAGTGGTTGTTGCTCTTCCAGCCACTCTGTCACCAGGAAGACAGCTGGACCCTTGCTCCTTGGTCTGGCTTTTATCTCATTCCACTTTTGTGGGTTTTCAGCTCCCGCGAAATGCAGAAAGCACAGGACCTCAGGACCCCGCTGAGGATGGTCATGGTGTTAGCAATGATGCTGGTGTCATGGTAGCTGACATGCCTTTTATTAACTCAGTTCAGCTCCCCAATACCCTGAAAGGTAAATACCACTTGAGGAGTCAACGTGGCTTTCTCAGAGGACCATGGCAGTGTGATGGGACACAGACTCAGGTTGGCTTGACACCAGGGTCTGGCTCTCAGCCACTTTCCTGCTCCAAACCATTAAGTGGTTTTCCCAGTACCCAGGGGATAAAAAATCAAATGCATCTCTTTCCTTCTAGGATTATATGTTGTAGCAAAATAACTTAGTTCCTTGTGCACCTGGAGCATTTTTAAATCATTTTTAGGCCTTTATATGCACTGCTTCTGTGCCTTGGAATTCCCGTGTAGATGGCACTTCCTGCAGAAAGCCTTCCCAGATACCCCTCAGATTGGGTTGGGTATCTCCAGGCCCCATTCCCTAGAACCTACCTCGCTGGGATTTCGTTGTCTCCAGTTCATTTGCTTCTCTGCACAAGATCCCTAGTGACAGATATGGCAGAATTAGACGACCCACGGCTATCTGAGCATTTCTAGGGAATACTATACAGCAAAATAATTGAAACCCTCCCACAGTCCCCCAGACAGGCCAACAAGAAGCCTATCTTTTATAAACTGGAGGCCTTATCTACAAAACCTGGAGTTCTCCCGGCCTTTTGTATCAGTCTGTCTTTGAGAATTACAGATATTTTCCTCCTACATTTTCTTCTAGAAGTTTTGTAGTTCTCGTGTTTAATTCTACGATCCATTCTAATTATCTTTTCATATGTGTTGTGAGATGAGGGTCAAGGTTAGTTTTTTCCAGATGGATCTCCCGGTTCCGGTTGTTCTAACTCTCTCCTTTCCCCTGCTGTGTCATTTCCATACCTTTGTCCAAAATCAGTTGAGCGCACGTGTGTGGGTCTATCTCTGGATTCCGTTTGGTTCTCTTGGTCTGGATTCTGTACTTCTTTTAACACTACATGGTTTCATTTCCTGTAATTTCATAGGAAGTCTTGAAATCAGATAATATAAATTTTAGACATTCTTCCTTACAGAGAACTTGTCGACTGAGCCAGATAGAACTAGCTCTACGCCATGTTGTAGCAGCTCTGTGCTTTAAGTCTTCCTGCCCTGGGTGACCTCATCTGTCATCTGAAATCAGGCTGCTCACTGAGATGGTGTGAGTTCCTGGTCTGGTTCCACCTGCTCTCACAGTTAGTTATGGAAAGACACTGGGGACATTCGGGAGCCTACGTGGACTTGATTGAGAGTCCTGACTTAGGCAAGGATTTCCATTTTGTTTCCCATCTTGCCTTCTGTAAGACCTTCCACAAACCTGGAAGACAAATGGCAAAAAAATATTCACAAAAAGTACAAAAGGCGCAAGAAATAAGCAGTTCTGTACGATATCGTGTATTCAAAGAGTGAGCATTCACCTTACATAAAGGACCTTTAAAACTTTGGAATATTTCTGGTAACATTCTTAGAGAACTAAACATTATGTAAGTAAAACATCCATAGAGGTCATTTGTTTTATAAAAAAGTATTCATTTGTACACAAATATGCTGGCTTTAAAAACCGAACGTCGAGACTGATTCTCACTTTTGAATGTATAATTTCCTAGTCTTTTCAATAGTCTGTAAAAGCACTTGCTTGCGTATGATACTGTGCCAGGAGCCCGGGGGCAGAAGGGGCCTTGGGAGAACACTGTTTGGAGAAGGAAACAAATTCAAGGAATTGTACAAAGTCACACAAGAAGAACTAAGAGCCAGACACAGTGGCACACACCTGTAATCTCTGGGACTCCAAGCAAGACTTGGCAGGAGTATCCCAAGTTCCAAACCATCCTCAGCAGTTTTGTGAGGCCCTAAGCAACTTAGCCAGACCCTGTCTCAAAATTTAAAAAATGAAAAAGATTGGGGATGGAGCTCTGTGGCAAAAGGCCCCTGGGTCCAATCCCCAGCGGGGGAAAAAAATCTAAAATGAAAACCCAGCAGTGCTCTCCCGTAGCAGTTCTCCCTTGGCCCCACAGACTCACAGCAGGTTGTTAGTAGATGTCAGGAGAGACAGGAGACGAGCCAGATGAAATGGCTGTTTGGGAGGTCAAAAAAGGTCAGCTGTCCCTGAAGTTCCCTGTTATGTAATCCCAGGCAAAGTCGGATTGGTGGGAAGCTACCCTGAATATGTGTGGAAAACTGACAGGGTCTGAAGGTCGCTGGTGAATTGGCTTCACAGTTAGGGTTAGGGTTGCTCCAGGGACGGGGGGGTTTAAAAGAAGGCGGGGTGCTGAGGGAACTCTCAGGAGACTCAGGGAAGCTTTGGGGAAGGAGGAAATGGGGTCCTCCACAGCGATCTGTGTGTGACCCTTCCCTCCTATCCACTCCTGGGAGGGGTCTTTCCTTTAATGACAAGGTCGTTGTGAGGGTGGGCTGGGCTGCGGGTGCTTGGGAGGTCCTCTGCTGTTATTCCGGGCTGTACCTTTGCCTTGTTGATGAAGGACACATAGGAAGGTGGTCCCAACTCCTGGCCATGACCAGAGAAGCATGAGGAAATGCCTTTGTCCGGTCACCTCCTGTCCTGCTGTGTCAGTGTTTTTTGAGATGACCTTAGGGTCTGACCAGAGATAAGCGCTTACATTTAACAAGTGCAAGAAAATGATGTTTGAAGCCCACTTTTTAAAAACTCACTTTTTTTTTTTTTAAACCTAGGCAGCAATAATTTATTTGCAAGCTGTTGGTCTGACTTAGTTACCCACCAAGTTAGCTTTGTAGCCTGCGGTCTTGTTCTTCCAGTATATGTTTCTCTCTCTCTCTCTCTCTCTCTCTCTCTCTCTCTCTCTCTCTCTCTCTCTCT